GTAAATTCTTCATTATTTAAAAATACATAAGGATAATTATATTTTTTATTCCATCGATCCTCAAAATGTCTCATTGTCTCACGTAATTCATGTATCTCTTTATTTCTTACAAGAACTATTATAACAGCATTGACTCGAGAGATGTTTTTCAAGAACAATGACGCATCTTTCGTTGGATCAATATATTGAGATTCAAAAAATCGTTGACGACTTATTTTAGAAAATTGGATTTGGAAAAATATATATGAGTACATTACAATTATGAAAAAAATTGATATAATTATGACATAACAAGATTTTCTTTGATTTCTCATTTTTCTTTTTCGAAAATTAAAAGTGGCTTCATTGTTTATAGTAGTGCTAGGGATTGCAATATCGATATATAAATATTTAAGCAAAATTTGTATAACTGTCGATCAACAATATTGTGAAACGAATTTCCGAGTGGATAGGTTTATTGGGAGAGTTTAATCGCAATTGTGAACGAAGATAAGTGAAGAACTTGTGTTTATTAAACTGAAGTGTTGTCTTTTTATAACTTTACAAATCAAATCATTAACAATTACATCTTCTATTCTGTAGAGTCACAACTCATAATAAATAATGTTACGGATGATCGTGAATTTACACCTAATTTAAATATACAAAATTTTTTAAAAATTTTGGATCTAATCTAAGCATTTATCCGGATCTTACTATTGTATCCGGATAATTATCCGTAGGGTTTGAATTTCACCTGCAAGACTAGAGTTTTGAGCCGGTTTTATTTTTCATATGTTAAAACCGGTTTTAATCGGTTTTAACATATGAAAAATAAAACCGGTTCCAAGCTCTTACTTACACGATCATCCCTTCCGGGTGATGATCTACCGTCTCCAAAAAAGGATTACAGGATTATAAACGATCACGTTATACGATCACGATCACGCGCATACAATAGATGCGCGCGAGAAAAATTTATCTATGACATATCAAAATACTAATTATGTCATGATATTAAAGCCTTTGGCTTACAAAAGAACATAAAAAGTGTTGATCAAGAAAAATTGTTGAATTTTTGACATCTACAGATCTAATGCATTGTTGATTTAAAATAAAAATTAAAATTCGATTTTCCCAAGCGTAAACAATAGAAAAAATGAAATACAGTTTTTTTTTAAGCTATAAATTATATATTATACTGCAGGGTTGGCACGGACCGGTCAATGGTCAAGCTTGACCAGACCAGTTTGACCAATTTGACCAGTTGGTCAAAGGGTT